AACTCCTTTCGTCTCCAGCACACCATCGAGTACTCAACACCCTCCGTCTCCAACACGCCAACCGATACTCAACAGGCTCCCTCCCCAAGCTGAACTTGAAAATTATCCCTGAGGAGCCCCGAGGAATTGAAGCCCCGAGGAGAGCAATATTAGCAGTAACGGTAAACGCCGTCCTCCTCCTTCTCCTCATCGTCGCAATTGTAGCAGTAGCGGTAGTAGTAGTAGTAGTAGTAGTAGTAGTAGTAGTAGTAGTAGTAATAGTAGTAGTAATCGTAGTAGTAGTAGTAGTAGTAGTAATAGTAGTAGTAGTAGTAGTAGTAGTAGTAGTAGTAGTAGTAGTAGTAGTAGTAGTGGTAGTAACAGTAGTAGTAGAAGAAGTAGTAGTAGTAGTAGTAGTAGTAGTAGTAGTAGTAGTAGTAGTAGTCGTAGTAAAAGTAAAAGTAAAAGTAACAGTAGAAGTACACGTAGTAGTAGTCGTAGTAGCAGCAGTAGTAGTAGTAGTAGTAGTAGTAGTAGTAGTAGTAGTAGTAGTGGTAGTAGTAGTAGTAGGTGTAGCAGTAGTCGTAGAAGTAGTAGTCGTAGTAACAGTAGTAGTAGTAGTAGTAGTAGTAGTAGTAGGCGTAATAGTAGTAGTCGTAGTCGTAGTCGTAGTGGTAGTAGTAGTAGTAGTAGTAGTAGTAGCAATGATATGCTGTGTTATGCTGTGCTATGTTGCGCTATGCTATACTATGATATGCTATGATATGCGATGCGATGCTGCGCTGTGCTATGCTATGCTAAGCTATGCCATGCTATGCTGCGCTATGAAATGCTATGCTATGCTGCGCTATGCTATGCTATGCTAATGCTGCGCTAAGCTAAGCTGGGCTAATACGAGATGTATGATATTGGGGGGGAACCATATATATATACATATATATATATATATATAACATCGCTGGGCGCCCGCGCATGGTCCAAGATTTTGCCGTAACGTGCGCATCGTCTTCTTTTGACAGGGGTGGTCGGTCTGCTCATGGGGGGCAAGGGGCCCAAGATGGCTCCAAGAGGCCTCCGAGAAAACCACTATGAGGCGGTTGTTGCAGTGTTATTCTGCACTTCCCTGATCAAGGCAACTCGCCTGGCGACCAACTTTCTGAATGGGCTGGTGGGGGTATGCGAAGCGTCGATAATATTGTTGACAAGGATGGTAGGCCTGTCGTCATTTCCATGATAAAAATATGGTAAATCAGCCAGGATGGTGGGGTATGTGTCGGCGATGTCGCTGGTTTGTCGTCCGTCAGGTGGGAAAGGGGGAGTTTACCAAGGAGCCGACAAGTCGTTCCCTGGAGTGGAATTCCCTTCGTTTTCCTATATCCCCCCCGTTTCCCATGGTTTCCCATCTTGTCCTGGGGATCGACGAATAATTGCCTGTGGTCTTTCTCATGCTTTATATAAGTGGCAATCGCGCTATCGCTCGAGCTCTTCGATTCCTGCTGTACTCACGCTTCAGCAGCCCGCCTTCTCGACCTGGCCGCTTGGGCCCGCCTTCCTGACCCGCCCGTTATGGGCCCGTCTGGTTATGCCACGCGGTTTCTGCTCCCAGCCCCCTCTCCTGCTGATTCCGTCGTCCGCCCTTCTCCCTCACACTTCCATCCGTTCTCTCTTCCCCTGCTTCACGGGCTGCACCAATTACACGCGGCAGATAAGAAAGACAAACCCCCAACGGGGTATGATCGAAGACGAAGAGGTGGGTACCGAGGGTTTGGGATATACGTATTGAGTGGCCCGCGAGCAGGTAAAAGCGAACGATCATACAATTATTGTTGTTGAATGCTCATTCCCCCAAAAATGATGATAGTTGATCCCCCCTCCCCGGTATCCGTTGTATTTTTCAAGCATCGATTCCCCACCCCCCGAAACTCGCACCCTGTTTGTTAAGAAAAACGGAATGTCACCAAACTCAAACTGCGCCACTGGCCCCCAGTCTGCAGCAACAGGGGCTCCCGCCTGATACCTTCTCACAATTTATTCCCGATCGCGCTCGCTCGCGTTTTTTTTTTGGTTTGCAAGAATCGTGCTCTCGAGTGGGGCGCCCTCGCGATGTATTCAGATGCCGCGCCCTCGACATTCAGGAGTCGGGCTCTCGCTGTGGATTGCACGACTTCTCTAAGAATCGCGATTTCTCAAGACTCACTCGCGACTCATGCAGGGTGCGCGCTTCAGCGATCCGCCCGCTCGACCTGGCCGCCCGGGCCCGCACTCCCGACCCGCCCGTCGGGGTCTACCCCGCCCGATCCGCCCGTCTGGTTCTGCCACGTGGTTTCTCCTCCTCGTCCTCCTCCTCCTGCTACTCCTCCTCCCTCTCCCTCCCTCCTCCTGCTACTCCTCCTCCCTCTCTACTCCTCCTCCCTCTCCCTCCTCCTGTCCTACTCCTCCTCCTACTCCTCTCCTCCTCCTCTCTCGTGTTCCATCCTCCTCCCTCCCCCTCGACACTTCCTTCCGTCCGTCCTGCCCTTCCCTGCCGTGGGGGCTGCACGGAATAAGCGTGTCACGTGAGAAAGATGTCCCCAAGGGGGTGCGATCGAAGACGAACAGGGCGGGTATCGAGAGTTTGGGATATTCGTGTTGAATGGCCCGCGAGCATATAGGAACGATCAGCCATAACAAATGATTGTTGTTGTAGCTGTTGATGATGGTGTTGGTGTCGCTATTGTTGTTGTCGTTGTCGTTGTCGCTGTTGTTGTTGTTGATGTTGTCGTTGAACTTTCATTTCTAATATATGACTGCTGATCCCCCATGTAGCGGCCATTGAGCTTTTTAATTTGCTGGTTCCTCATGGGGCTTGTGTATTGTTTTCACAAAAAGGGGAACCCTGAAGCTTTGATTGGGCCCCGATTGGGCCTCTGGCCCCCGGCCGATAACAGCAGCGGCTCCCGCCTGATACGCCCTCACAATTCACGAAATCAAACAGGCGCTCCCGCGCCAGACGTTCTCCCACATTCGGCGGTGGACAAACCTCCCTTTAGGAATCCTCCCTTTAGTGAAAACGGCCTGGGACCGAAACCGACGGACCTGGGCCCGCAAAAATGACGGCCGCGACGCCCTCTCGCGAACCGAAAACGGCCAATTCGCTAATCGACGTGTCATGGTAGGAGGTCTGTCCACCCCCGACACATGTTGCAATAATCGTGCTCCCGCGTGGGACTTTCACGCGATATATTTGGACGCCGCGCCCTCGACACTCAGGGATCACGCTCTCGCTGTGGCCTCCTCACGATTTGCTTGGGAGTCGCGCCATCTCTCAAGACATACTCGCGATTCATGCAGGGTGCGCGCTTCAGCAATCCGCCTGCTCGACCTGGCCGCCTGGGCCCGCAATCCCGACCCGCCCGTTAGGGTCTACCCGCCCGATCCGCCCGTCTGGTTATACCATTTGCTTTCTGCTCCGTGCCCCTCTCATGCTACTCTCTCTCACGCTCCATCCTCCTCCCTCCCCTTTGACCCTTCCTTCCATCCGTCCTGTCGTCTTCTGATTTAGGAGCTGCGGGAAATACGCGTTTCAGGTGAGAAAAGACTTCCAAGGGGGCACGATCGAAAAGGAAGAGGGCGGGCACCGAGGGTTTGGGATATACGTGTTGCATGGCTTGCGAACAGAGAAGAGCGACCACTCTTAGAATGATTTGTTGTTGTCGTCGTCGCCGCCGTCGATCCCTCCCCCGACCCCCCAGCGACCCACCTGGAACCGCCCCGCGACACACCCGCGAATCGCCTGCGACGCGCTCGCGACCCACCCCGCGCCCGCTCCCTCACTCTTATTCCCAGTTGCGCGGTGCTCAATCCTTGTTCGTTCAAGGCTGTTTGAGATGGCCCTGGGGTCGGAGACGGACATCAAATATTGAAACATCATGACATCTGAAATTTGATCTTGGACCCCGAATCCTTTTCAAAACCGGTGTCTAGACCCCTCGCAGGGCCCACCTTGGCCAGCTTTTCGAGCGGCGTCCAGCCGCTGCGGGGAACAGATGCACAGAAACTCTTGAAAACCTCCGGAACGCGACGACGACGCCGACGACCTCCTCAATCCACCGGTGTATCACCGACAGGCCCCCCATGGCGAAATTGCACAACCATGGGGGGGTGGGCTATCGGTCGCCTATCGGCGATGAATGAGCGATTGGGGGTCGGTGCGGCCCCACCCACCTGAGCCTATCGCCCCCGTGACGTTGCCCCTGGAAAAGAAGGAGGCCAAGCGTGAGGCGTCTGTTGGCGCCAAGTGCGCGAGCAAATCGAGGAAGGTGGCTGACACGGGGCAGGAACTGGCTGCCTGCAGAAAACTTCGTAACCACTCCTTTCCCGATCCCCTCCTCCTCCTCCTCCTCCTCCTCCTTCTCCTCTTCCTCCTCCTCCTCCAGCCTGATCCTCCGCCTCCTCCCCCCCCCCTTCCCGTCCCCCTCCCCCCTCCCCTCCCCTCCCCCTCCCCCTACTACCCCTCCCCCCTCCCCCTCCCCCTCCCCCTCCCCCTCCTCCCCCTCCTCCTCCTCTCCCCTCCTCCCCTCCTTCCTCCCCTCCTCCTCCTCCTCCTCCTCCCCCGTCCCCCTTCCCCTCTTCCCCTCCCCCTCTTCCTCCCCCTCCCCTCCTCCTCCTCCTCCTCTCCTCCTCCCCTCCTCCTCCTCCTCCTCCTACTCCTCCTCTCCTGCGCCTCCTCCTCCTCCCCTCCTCCTCCTTCCTCCTCCTCCTCCTCCTCCCTCTCCTCCTCCCTCCTCCTCCCTCCTCCTCCTCCTCCTCCTCCTCCTCCTCCTCCTCCGCCTCCTCCCTCCTCCTCCTCCTCCTCCTCCTCCTCCTCCTCCTCCTCCTCCTCCTCCTCCTCCTCTCCCCCTCCTCCTCCTCCTCCTCCTCCTCTCTCCCCCTTTTCCTTTCCTCCTCCCTCTTTGACTTCCCTAGATGGCGTCCGACCCTGCCCATCCCCCTCCCTGCGCCTTTGCCTTATCGTGCGTGATAGGAAGGGGAAGGCCGAACGCCTGCTGGCGGGCGCCAGGGCGGACACCGCCCGCATGCCGCGCGACGCGTCGAGCAGCAGCACCAGCGCCTCTGGACGGGGGGGCCACCGCCGCCGGCACGGGCTGCGCGACGGCGGCGGCGGGGCAAAGGTCGGCGGCGAGCGAAGAGGGGGGAAGTGAGAAGGAGGAGGCCCTCCCAGAAGGCGGCGGGGCTTCTCAGAATCCTCCCCGGCCTTCTCAGAAGCTGTACTGTCTTCGGGGAGGCTCTGGAAACTTCTCACCCTCGGGCCTTCCGAGCCTTCTGAGAAGGCTCTTCTCTGGGGAATCCAAAAGGTACCCATACGGCTGCTCCCCTGACCTCTCCTGGGGTGCGAACTGACCAGAATTTCGAAGTGAATTCAGCGGTGGCGACGAGGGCCTCCCAGGAGGCCCAAAATTAGCCTGGCGAAGAACCCAACCATATGCAGTTGTCAGTACCGCAGCTGCGGGTTTCATCTTCAGTGGAACTCCCCATAGGACCACGGAACGTGTGAGGGGTGTGCCGAGAAGGGTGCCACTGGGGCATTCGGTGAAGCTCCCTATGGGGACATGAAACACGCGCGGGGCGTGCCGACATGGGTGGCGGAAACGCATGTGAGGGCCGCCACTGGGGCCTCCAGTGGAGCTCCCTATGGGTCCCCGAAACATGATGCTGCTGCGGGGGGGGTGCCGGGATGGGTGGCGGAGACGCATGTAAGCGCCGCTACTGGGGCCTTCGGTGGAGCTCCCTATGGGGCCACGAAGCGCGTGAGGGGTGTACTGGGATGTGTGGCGGGGACGCATGTGAGCGCCGCCACTGGGGCCTTCGGTGCAGCTCCCTATGGGGCCACGAAGCGTGTGAGGGGTGTGCCGAATTGGGTGCGGGTGGTGACGCATGCGGGCGGTGCCACTGGGGCCTTCGGTGGAGGTCCCTATGGGGCCACGAAACCTGTTGTTGTGAGGGGCGTGCCGGGATGGGTGGCGGGGACGCATGTGAGCGCGGCCGCTAGGGCCTCCGGTGGAGCTCCCTATGGGGCCACGAAACGTGTGAGGGGTGTGCCGAATTGGGTGGGTGTGGGTGACGCATGCGCGCGCCTCCACTGCGGCCTGCGGTGGATGATGGGGCCACGAAGCGTGTGAGGGATGTGCCGAAATGGGTGTGCGGGACGCATGCGCATGTGAGCGCCGCCCCTGGGGCCTTCGGTGGAGCTTCCTATGGGGCCACGAAGCGTGTGAGGGGTGTGCCGAATTGGGTGTGCGGGGCGCATGCGAGCGGCAGCACTGGGGCCGTCGGTGGAGCTCCCTATGTGGCCACGAAGCGTGTGAGGGGTGTGCCGAATTGGGTGTGCGTGACGCATGCGGGCGGCGGCACTGGGGCCGTCGGTGGAGCTCCCTATGGGGCCACGAAGCGTGTGAGGGGTGTGCCGAATTTCGTGTGCGGGACGCATGCGGGCGGCAGCACTGGGGCCTTCGGCGGAGTCCCCTATGGGGCCACGAAGCGTGTGCGGGGTGTGCCGAAGTGGGTGTGCGGGACGCATGCGGGCGGCAGCACTGGGGCCTTCGGTGGGGTTCCCTATGGGGCCACGAAACGTGTGAGGGGTGTGAGAGAATGGGTGTGCGGGACGCGTGCGGCCCGGCAGCACTGGGGCCTCGGTGGGGCTTCCCGAGCAGGCCGAAAACGAAACGGCCGAAAGCGGCGTGTGCCGGATGGGTGTGGCGGGAACGCATGCGGGCGCAGCCCTGGGGCCTTTCGGCGGAACTCCCAAGGAGGCCTCCGAAAAACGTGTGAGGGTTGTGCCGAATTGGGTGTGCGGGACGCATGCGGGCGGCAACACTGGGGCCTTCGGTGGGGCTCCCTATGTGGCCACGAAACGTGTGAGGGGTGTGCCAAATTGGGTGTGCGGGACGCATGCGGGCGGCAGCACTGGGGCCTTCGGTGGGGCTCCCTATGGGGCCACGAAACGTGTGAGGGGTGTGCCGAATGGGGTGTGCGGGACGCATGCGGGCGGCAGCACTGGGGCCTTCGGTGGGGCTCCCTATGGGGGCCGGGGGCCACCCCAGCCACGGACGTGTGAGGGGTGTGTGCCGATTGGGTGTGCGGGCACGCATGCGGGCGGCAGCACTGGGGCCTTCGGTGGGGCTCCCTATGGCGCCACGAAACGTGTGAGGGGTGTGCCGAATTGGGTGTGGGGGACGCATGCGGGCGGCAGCACTGGGGCCTTCGGTGGGGCTCCCTATGGGGCCACGAAACGTGTGAGAGGTGTGCCGAATTGGGTTTGCGGGACGCACGCGGGCGGCAGCACTGGGGCCTTCGGTGGGGCTCCCTATGGGGCCACGAAACGTGTGAGGGGTGTGCCGAATGGTGTTCTGCGGGAACGCATGGCTGGAGACAGCCAAGAACTGGGGCCTCGGCGGAGCTCCCTATGGGGCCACGAAGAGCGTGTGAGGGGTTGGCCGAAAATTGGGTTTGTGCGTGACGCAATGCGGGCGGCACCACTGGGGGCCTTCGGCGGAGCCTCCCTAATGGGCCCCGGAAACGTGTGAGGGGTTTGGCCGAATTGGGTTGTGGGCGGACGCATGCGGGCGCAGCCACTGGGGCCTTCCGTGGAGCTCCCTATGGGGCCACGAAACGTGTGAGGGGTGTGCCAGAATAGGGGGTGGAACAGCATGCGGGCGCAGCCACTGGGGCCTTCGGTGGAGCTCCCTATGGGGCCACGAAACGTGTGAGGGGTGTGCCGAAATGGGTGGTGGGGAGGCATGCGAACGCAGCCACTAGGGCCTTCGGTGGAGCTGCCTATGGGGCCTCGAAACGTGTGGAGGGTGTGCCGAAATGGGTGGTGGGCGGGACGCAATGCGGTCGGCAGCAACTGGGGGGCCTTCCGCTGTTCTCCCTCTGGGGCAACGAAACGTGTGAGGGTGTGCCGAATTGGGTGTGCGGGACGCATTCGGGCGGCACACTGTGGCCTTCGCGCGGAGCTTTCCCGATGGGGCCACGACGTGTGAGGGGTGTGCCGAAATGGGTGTGCGGGACGCATGCGGGCGGCAGCACTGGGGCCTTCGGAGGAGCTCCCTATGGGGCCACGAAACGTGTGAGGGGTGTGCCGAATTGGGTGTGCGGGACGCATGCGGGCGGCAGCACTGGGGCCTTCGGCGGAGCTCCCTTTGGGGCCACGAAGCGTGTGAGGGGTGTGCCGAATTGGGTGTGCGTGGACGCATGCGGGCGGCACCACTGGGGCCTTCGGCGGAGCTCCCTATGGGGCCACGAAACGTGTGAGGGGTGTGCCGAATTGGGTGTGCGTGACGCATGCGGGCGGCACCACTGGGGCCTTCCGCGGTTCTCCCTATGGGGCCACGAAGCGTGTGAGGGGTGTGCCGAATTGGGTGTGCGGGACGCATGCGGGGCGCCAGCCACTGGGGCCTTCGGCGGAGCTCCCTATGGGGCCACGAAACGTGTGAGGGGTGTGCCGAAATGGTTGTGCGTACGCATGCGGCGGCACCACTGGGGCCTTCGGCGGAGCTCCCTATGGGGCCACGAAACGTGTGAGGGGTGTGCCGAATTGGGTGTGCGTGACGCATGCGGGCGGCAGCACTGGGGCCTTCCGCGGTTTTCATTATGGGGCCACGAAACGTGTGAGGGGTGTGCCGAATTGGGTGTGCGGGACGCATGCGGGCGGCACCACTGGGGCCTTCGGCGGAGCTCCGGAGCTCCCTATGGGGCCACGAAACGTGTGAGGGGTGTGCCGAATTGGGTGTGCGGGACGCATGCGGGCGGCAGCACTGGGGCCTTCGGCGGAGCTCCTTATGGGGCCACGGAGCGTGCGAGGGGTGTGCCGAAATGGAGGAGGGAGGGGAGGAGGAGAGGAGGAGAGGAGAGGAGAACGCGGGGCGACGTCTCTTCAAAACGAGGACCCAACACCACAGGATGGTTGGGAATTATTGGAGAGGAGGAGGGGGCAGAGGAGGAGAGGAGAAGGCGGGGACCGTCTCTTCAAAACGAGGACCCAACACCACAGGATGGTTGGGAAAAAGGAAAGCGGGCGAAGGGTAGAGGTATGGGTACCTTTTTCTCCTCCGATTCTCGGACGCCTGATGGCTTTCGGGTCATAGCTCGGCTCTCAGGTGGCCATTCGCGACGATCCGGGTACCCTGAAGTCGGGCGTGTCCCCCTACAGGGGGATTTTCGACGAAACAGGAAGAACAGTCAAAACATACTCTAAAATACCCATGGTGAACCAAAATCGTCCCCAGACTTTTTTTTGACTACTTTTGAATATTCCTCCTGTAGAGGGACAGGCCCGACTTACTCATAGCTCGGCTCTCGGGTGTCGGGTCGGGCGAAAGGGGGGGATAGCAAAGGGGGGGTTTGAGAATCAGCTCACGTAGCTGATTTTCCCGGCGCCTCCCGGCGCCGGAGGCGGCTATGTATCGAGGAATGGGCCCCTCGGTGAGGCCGAAACCAGCTGCATGCAGCAAATTTCGTAACCCCCCCTTTCCCAATCCCCCCCTTTCGCCCGACCCGAGGGTGGCCGCCCGCGACGAGCCGGGCACCCCCCGGGAGCGCCCCCGGCGAGGCGCAGCTGCCGGAGCGCATGCCGAGGCGGGAGCACCTGCCTGCGCCCGACGGCGGCGCCCGGAAGCCCAGAGCCTGGAGCCCGCCGAAGCCCGAGGAGGGCAGCGTCGTGCCCCCCAGGTCCTCCTCCTCCTCCTCCTCCTCCTCCTCCTCCTCACCCTCCTCCTCCTCCTCCCCTCCTCCTCCTCCTCCTCCTCCTCCTCCTCCTCCTCCTCCTCCTCCTCCTCCTCCTCCGTCTTGGACGCCCCAAGTGGGTACGGCAAAAAGAGGCACAATGCCCAACAACAAAGGTTGCCCCAGACTCGGACGTCGCTCGGACGTCCACTTCCCGTGCATTGCTCGGTCCCTGTGCGTGTTTTTTTTGTTGCTCGATGGTCCAGGATGGTCCTCGCGGGTCGTCGCCGAGGAAAACATGCGCACGTCCGAACGATGCCGAGCAAAATTTTGGACGCCCGAAGTGGGTACGGAAGCAATGGGTGCAATGCCCAACAGCAAATGTGG